CAGTAATGATACAGATATTGACAGTTTTGACTGTAGTTTGTAGTAGAGGTCAGTAACAGTACAGATATTGATAGTGTTTGACTGTAGTATGTAGAGGAGGTCAGACTGCATGCTACAGTCAGACACTACCAATATCATTACTGTATCATAACTGACCTTGACTACATACTACAGTCATACACTATCAATATCTGTATCATTACTAACCTAGACTACATACTTCTGTTAAACAGTATTTTCATAAGGCTGGTGATAGGTTCTTTCGAAAGACAAGAGCAATGCCTCATAACAATCAACACATTGTAAATTTATAATTTTATTGATTTTTCATTCATAATAATCACTTCTATGATACTATACTACTCGAGTAAGCAATTAGATGCTCAGTAGGATTAGGCTTTGTTGTTTTCCTTGCACCAATAGTTCAAATATAGGAACAGTTGTCTACAAATCCTACGCATATCATCAGGCTCATTGAGTCTATTTCTATCTTTAGTTTTGATGACTAAAGTGTCGAGGTTCGCTTGGGTTCGTCGTGTTGAAGGTCACCAGAAATCCTGAAACTCTATAATTCTTCTCCTACAATAGCCTGGCAACCAGGAATATACAGTATTATAGCTTGGAAATTAAAAACTCAATAAAAGTCTGTCAAAAGCATAGCTTTAAGATAGCTTGCCAGGCAAGGTAATATACGCCCACTGGCAGCTTTGATTTAAAATAAAAATATTTGGCAGTACAGTAACTATTACCAGTATGAAATATTCAACCTTCAGTCATACACTTCTTTTGAACTTTTTGAGGCGATACTGAATAATATTATCAAAATCTGTCAAGGATTGGGCCATCTAGATTGTTAACAGGCTAAAAATTGAACGCGTTTTCAAGAACAAGGGAAAAAACTCATACTAAAAATTTTTCAATTTTTCTGATTTTCGATAGGGTTTATCCTTGGGTGATTGCAAACACTCACACCAAGTTTTGTCAAAATCTGTCAAGAAATGTGCCTTCTAGAGTGTTTACAAGCTAAAATTGAACACGTTTTCAATAGCAAGGGCAATAACTCATACTAAATATTTTTCAATTTGTCTGATTTTCAATAGGGTTCATTCTTGTGTGATAACAAACACTCATGCCAAGTTTCGTCAAAATCCGTCAAGAATTGTCCCTTCAAGAGTGTTTACAAGCTAAAAATTGAATGCATTTTCAAGAACAAGAGCAATAACTCATAGTAAATATTTTTCGATTCTTCTGATTTTCAATAGGGTTTATCATTGGGTGATTACGAACACTCGTGCCAAGTTTCGTTAAAATCCATCAATAATTGTGTCTTGTAGAGTGTTTACGAGCAATTGTGGACGGACGGACGGACGGACGGACGGACATGGGTGACGGCAATATACGCCCCCCATTTCACATGGGCGTATAAAAATGTATATATAAACGAATTGCAGACTAATAGACAGCTGGAAATGCACGCAATACCGAAGTATGATCATAAACCCATTCCTTATGGTTCACATCACATAGCGATTGCAGAAATTTTTAGACTGTGAAATTTAGCGTACAAAATGCCTGAAAACCATAGTCACCGATATTAAATATGGCGGATATTTTTCTTCGATAGAGATATTAAAATGCTTATTTTAGTGTGTTAACAATGTGAAATGTTCACAATATTTATATTTTTTAAACCTAAAAAGTGTGATTTTTTAAAATGTCAAAAAAAAATTGGATGAAATCCACCAAATAAAAAAAAACGTGGTAAAATTTAGAGCCACTGCCCTTGTGAACTATGTAGAGGTTACAGTTGTTTTCATCAAATTTGGTGTGTAGCTGTACATTCACAATATCGTTTAATACATGAATTGAAACATCAACTCTATATATATATATATATCTCTCAGGCACATCAGTTCATTTATAAGATATGCATTATTTTAGTTATTCTCGTGGGTTTTCAACACAACAGAATTTTCATTAAAACATCCGGCATTTATTTAACAACACATTGTCAGAAAAGCGTGCTGCACGTCAGGTAGACCTGTTATGACTTTTTGAAAACACACTGGCTATTTGTACCGTCACGGTGCGTGTTCTGTATGGCTGCTAACAATGGTACGGATAAGATAGGACACAATAGCCGCGCTAGTTTTTGGGTTCTTTTTAAAGCGTGAAGCAATTTTGATTGTCAAGAATGATATTAAGTGACTTTGGTAGGGATGCCCTGATCAATTTTTGCCGTCGCGAGTAGGGCGTAAAACTCCATTCATTTCATTTGTACCCGTCGCGGTGCGAATTGCCAGAGATATGGGTTTCAGATTTAGTTATAAATCAAATAATTAAACATCTCTGTATGTGCGTACAAAAGAAGGGTTAAATCCACGTTCATGATCCGAGAAACCAGAACACTAGCCGCAGGACAAATAGTTAGTAAAAGGTTTGATCTTAATTTTTTGATCACATACCAGAATGCCATGTTTTATAAAAAAAAAATTTTTTTTTACCTATTTGAGATCGCATGATCTAATATTGCGATGTTCGATATGCATTCAAATTCAGACTTTTCTGTATTTTAGGTTTATGCATAATTCTTACCATGTTTTATGAAACTCAGATAAAACTGTTTTAGAGAATCATTTTGTAAGAGTCAATATTTGTGTTTTGGGTATACCCCGTGATACCCATAACTCCTGGTTAATTTTTGAGGAACCCTTTTATATAAGCCAATCTTTCTGCTTATTCTCTATATTGCTCATCGTGTACCTCTATACTTTAAAATTTTGTCTTTTTACAAAAGTTGTCTGAAGATCGCATAACGTCTGACTAACAACAACATGTGTTTTTAAGGTTCTGTTTGATATTTCTATATCTGTCTACACTTGTATTGAGCACTATTTTAACAGTGAAAATATTGTATTATTAAATTTATAAACATAATGATTATAAATAACTCTTTACCACAATTATTATATTTATATTAAACAATGTACATTCTCCTCTCTTACAAAAATCAAAACAATACAATTCTATTCATCTAATAAATAAAACCTACTTTAAACTGGTTCAATAGATTGATTGTAATCAATTAATCATGTAAACGTGTGTTCTGGAAGAATAAAAAAAATACAAATAAATTATATTTATACGTTTATATTCATTTATAAAATTAAAAATTATAAATCTGGCTCAAAAGACAACCTACAATAAAGATTTTGAGGCTCTGATGGCTATCGTAACACGTCAGGTGTAACAGAGAAAATAAACAGTGATATGTATCATAATCGTTATAGATATTTATGATATCCTCATTCTATAAGATTATAATCATAAAAGAACAAAATAAAACAAAATAGAATTATAAGGACGATATAAAAGATTACTTTTTTTTTTTCGGAAGTTTGTAATCAAAAGTACCAGAAATGTACGCAAATCGCATTATTCCTTCAAAAATACCTCAAATTAAAACTTTCTCTTTCTATTTCTATGCATGTATTTTTTATATTCTATACGTGGCAGAGTCTCAAGTTTTAAACATTGTGATCATAAAAGAAATTGATGGAAAAATAAATACAGTTTTAAACATTGTGAAACATTAATAAAATCAAAATACAGTTTAAAACAGTGTATAAACAGGATACATTTATTAGATACAGAATACATTAACGATAACCAGGATATTTTTATTTGATACAGAATAACACTAAACATGATACATTTATGATAAACAGGATACATTTATGATAAACAGGATACATTTATAAGATACAGAATACATTAACGATAACCAGGATATTTTTATTTGATACAGAATAACACTTAACATGATACATTTATGATAAACAGGATACATTTATGATAAACAGGATACATTTATAAGATACATAATATATTAACGATAACCAGGATACTTTTATTAGATACAGAATAACAATAAACATGATACATTTATGATACACAAGATACATTTATGATAAACAGGATACATTTATAAGATACAGAATACATTAACGATAACCAGGATACTTTTATTAGATATAGAATAATAATAAACATGATACATTTATGATAAAAAGGATACATTTATGATAAACAGGATACATTTATAAGATACAGAATACATTAACGATAACCAGGATACTTTTATTAGATACATTTTTGATAAACAAAACACATTTCAGATAAACAAAAACCATTAACAATAAACATGATACATTTATGACAAACAGGATACATTTATGACAAACAGGATACATTTATGATAAACAGGATACAGTTATGATAAATAGAAATTATTTGTGATACACAAAAGATATTTATGATAAACACAACACAATCACCACGAATAGGGAACATTTATAATATACAGAATATATTAACCATACACAGGATACATTTCAGATAAACAAAATACATTTCAGATAAACAGAATACATTAACAATAAACAGGATACATTTTTATAAACAGGATAAATTTATGATAAACAGAAAACATTTGTGATACATAAAATATATTTATGATAAACACAACACATTTATCATATACATAATACAATCACTACGAATAGGGAACATTTATAATATACAAAATACATTAATGATTAACAAAATACATTAAAGATAAACAGAATTTTTTTTAGGATAAACACTACACATTTATAATTATACAGAATATGTTCGTGATAAACACATACAATTATAATCAAAACATCAAAACATGCATGATAAGCAAACAAGATATTTGATATAACACACGAATAATTGTTTAATACACCATAAAATCGCAGCGCTATATGATATTTCATTCAAGAAATGTCCCTTTTACATAATTCAAATTATTGTGAAAATTTTGAAAATATAATAGACATTTGTGTAGCCATAAATATATGGGCTAGTTTTGACTTCTGCAAAAGTAATCAACATAAAATAAGCAAAATGGTTTTTACATATAGGTTTTGGAAATAATGTAAGAGCTACAGACTACCTAATTTATTATTCATTGACTTTCAGCTTTATCGTCAATACGAGATGTATCAGCTGTGATAGGACCATATAGTAAAGAGTATGCAGAAGCTACAACCAAACAAAAAATTCCCTACCTAGTAACCTCTATTACACCATCTGATCAAGAACAGACGCCTTTTTTAATTCAGATATTTCCGGATGTAGATGTCCTGGCTGAGGCTGTATTAGATATTGTCAAATATTTTCATTACCATCATGTGGCCGTTATTCATGATACTATTGAAGGTAGGTTGAAATTGATATTTTTTCAACATTTTTCATTCCAAAAACGGTACACTGATCAAGCATGCATTTATAATAATCTTATATTATTTTGCACTATTTGCCCTCATTAAGGTGTACAATTATCTTCTTAACATTCGTGAATCAGGGAGTCTTTTCCTGGCAACCTTTCAGCGAAGACATAACATTATTGATGTCATTATGGAACTATTTAATATCACAATTGTACTTCACAGTGTTCTTTTAAACAAATACAAATATTACGTTTTCATAGTTGGGTTCTAATTTAAGTCTGAATAGAAATGTATTCCGAACATCCATTATCCATTAACAGAATATGGTCAAGTAGGCGGTTTAGGAGACAAAATTGTGCCATTGACTTCTTATGGAGGATATAATTACAAAAATCATGCAATATTACAGAATTCAATTATCTATTTTTCGTATATTGATATTGTTTCTTCTTTGAGTTGTTCTCAATGACCTGTTAGAGGAAGTCGAAAATAGTCCAACTGAATGGCAATTCCTTGTATGATTATCTTAATATTGTATCACTGGAAGATAGCCTAAGAAACTTTATTGTCACTAGTTGCGATGTTACCACATTAGAATTAAATTAAACCTTACATTGTGAAAAATGCATTATTTCATTCTTATTTATGTACATCCTGTTCTAAATCTTAATACCTTATAAAAAAAAACTTTAATAGCAAGTTCATCTTTCCAGGTGGTGTTATTCTGGAAAAATTACTTCGACAACCTTTATCAAGTATTACATCTATTAAAATCAACGATTCTTCCTCAGAAAATATTCGTCAAGAACTGAAAGATATACGTTCTAATTTTTATACTAATATTATTGTTGTTTGTAAAAATAATACAAGTACAGATAGAATATTGACAGAGGTATGAAATAATTTTTTCTAAAGTGATGCTTAAACAATTACATATATTCGATCCATTACTATTCAAAACAAAAGAAAATCGAAAACTTAAATTACCCAATTAGCGCTTGATTAACTTGTTTTAACAGCAAATGCGTATTCCAATTTTCGTTTGTAAGAAAAAAAAACTTGCAAAAGAGACAACAATCTGTATTGATTCATAATATTTTAGATTTGTATGACTAATTGAAATTATTTAATCATTTTGAAGCAAAATCGTAATTAATTCTTGATTTTGTAAAAGGTTTCTGGCAAGTGACGTTTCTTTCAATATGAAATGTATACTTAACATATTACTTGTAGGGTGTACGACTAAGTATGTTTGCTGCTCCTCATACATGGTTATTAGTGAATACGGTAAGTTGAATTTAGCCTCCATCAATATTGTCTAATTAAACTTTTTTATTAATTTCCAATAAACTTTCACCACGTGGACTATTTAAATCTTGTTAATGTTCTTCTAAATCTTCATTTTCAGGGTTTGGAAGAGTACGACCTTGAGAAATACGTGGATTCTCGAGTCAACCTAACTGTCCTTGACCTCACTGCTGATCCCGACTCTATTTCGTGTCATCTGAAGAAGGATATAAATTTAAAAAGAGCAGTGTTTCACGATGCTGTACGCCTCTATGTTAATTTAAAGAGAAATAGTAATGAAGATAAATCAATGAGGAGTACAGTAGGAAAGGTTTGTGAAATATATTTCACTGAGCATGAACAGTGATATCTTGTGATTATTTGTTTAATAGTTTATTGGACTGATTTCATATTGATTCCACAAGTTTTGACATCTAGTCAAATAGTTATAAGAAAGGTATTAAAACTACCCATTTCTACATTATGTTTTCGTTCATTATTTTATATCGACCAATTTAATTGGTCGAGAATTAAGCAGTTGCCAATAAAAATCATTCTTCCAGGAAGTGATTGTTTGATTCCCCTTAATGCACAGCCCCAGGTTCGAACAAGATACTTCATTGAAATACAATGTTTGGGAAGATACGTAGCAAACATTGATATTTATTGGGGTTTAATTTTGTTCAAGCATATATATTTTAAGTACTCTACCTATGTATGTTTTGGCTTATACATATTTGTAAACAGTATCAAGTTACCTTTCCATGCTATAAATCAGCTTTGATATCGGTTTGTTTCCTACTTTTGTTTTCTTAATTGTAGTACAGAAATGCACTTCTGTTCAAGCTTTAAAGGATATTTTAATTTTTTGTTTACAGCTCGATCTTCAAGGATGCACTGGTCATTTAAATTTTACTAGATTTGGTAAAAGATTTGAATCATCTTTGAGATTGTTAGAAATTAGAAATTATAGAACAGGAGAGGTGAGTTGGGTATTTAATTTGCAAATAATAGTCAAATATCATGTTTTGTTTTTTATTGAAATGATGCAAAATACCAAAATTGTTCAGCTACAATTCGTTTGTTCTTAGATGGAATATCTGACGGATGTGTTTATCGCTACCATGATATCTAATTTGTCTAAAAAAAATTCATCTGTAATTTGACCTCTATAAGATGTATTTATTTTCTAAGAAAGTAACAAATAAACTTAAATGCAATGATTATCCATTTTCGGAGGTCAATCGTACCTTGGTAATTGTTCATCTAAACAAATCAGTTTTTTGCCTTCTTAGTCATATGTCTGTAATCATTCGTAATTGAGAATTACGTTGACGAGTCGCCTTTTTCAAGACTGCGCCATAATGAAGATAGGTTAAGGCCTGAATAATCAAATTTTATTCGATCATTGTATTTCCTAGGATAGACCTCATCAACAAGACGACTAATTTTCATGCAGAGAATAAGTAAAAAAAGAAAGTGATAATCGTACAGTTCTAGCACTCCCAGATATTTTGTACACATATTCAAGCATGAACTGAAGAAAGGTGAATAAAGATGAATAATAACACATAGCTGAGTGAATTAAGTGAAAGTACATCTCTGACAAACTTCTTATCTTCAGAATTCACATCATTATTTTGATAATCCTACACTAAACGAGTATTAGTTATATTTATATGATATGTATTATGGAAGTCAGACGAGTCGACATCAAAGAATAAAAAACAGTTATTATCTTCAATTGATTTGTCGAAATGAAGGAAATTGTTTGTCTAGTTACTTATAAAAATAAAACCAATTCCTATGAAGACATTGTTTCACTCAACAAAATTAGTTGCTCGTTTGCTCGTAAAGATTGCATACGAAATATTTTCACTATTAAAGGGACATTCCACTCTTTCTGTAGGTCAACAATCTTTTTTTCTCAAATTTGTGAAAACTATACAACAAATTCTAGAGAAATGTGTCCCTTAACGTATCTGAAAGTTTGTAATTAAAAAAATCAAGCCGTTAATTTTTTAACGCCAAAACTATTTAAAAACATTAAGTAAGGTTTTCAAGTTCGTTTTGATTCTTGATAGGTGGAAGAAAACTTCTTTACTGATTTAAGCAAAATAAACGCCAAATTGTAGAGAAAAATGTCTCTAACGTATTCTAAAGGTTCTAATGTTCAGCCTTTATAAAGCCAAACACCTAAATTATGTGAAACTGCTTAATTAACTATAAGTTCGCTTCGTTTTTAATTAACCCTTTAAAAACAAATCCAGTTTGATCAAGTAGAGATATATTTTCAGGTATAATTTAGGCCTTTTTGATAATGAAAATGTTTTACAAAAGAAGCGGAACGCCCGTTTAAAATAGAGCTCTGTACATCAGTGATTGAGGACAAGGATTGTATATTTAGATTCAACATACGATAATATATTGATCCATTGGAGTTTATTTTCTAAATCTAAAATTACTCTTCTAGCTTTAGTTTGGAATTCATTCGGATTCTCATACAGTTCTATCAGCTAAAGTAAAGCAAATATTTAAACCATTACACAAAACCAGTATCCATTTAACTGCATAGTTTGTAATGGGGCAACAGTTCCATAAAGTTAAGGGTGTTAAAGACGTTAGTGTTGGTGAAGTGCTTTGAAGTACCAGATGTGATATAAACTATAATATCATCACTAATCTAGCCTATTAATACCATATGTTAAAATATAAGTGGTAATTTGTCGACGAGTGGAGAGTTTTAACCTTTTACTAAACTATGATTTATAGTCCTAGCCACTATAGATAGATATTTACATTACAAGATAACGTCTTGTCTACTGATGCCATTCTTTTTCTCTTTTCTCCATTGTCTTAAATGACTTTACAAATTACAGATCACCACGAATCAAAATAATAGGGACAGTTGAAACGGAGCTCTATGACCAATCCAATATTTAGACGACAATATGCCTTTATATTGAACTGTAGACAAGACAGATTCTGTCAATTAAAAGATTTGGTAGATTAACTAGTATTTTATATTTTATTTGAGATTAGAGATATTGATGTTTTTTTTTTATTATTACAGTCTGGTTCATGGACGAATATAGAAGATAATTTTATAAACAGAGTGAAACCCTCAGAGTCATATAGTAGTTCTAGAAGATTCAGTAATATGTTTGATAAACCATTACGTATTACAACCAAACTAGTACGTATCATCTATAATATCTAATATGTCCTAATAAGAGATGCCCTAATAAGAAATGTCACATTAAGAGATGTCACAATAAGAGATGTCACAATAAGAAATGTTCTAATAAGAGATGTCACAATAAGAGATGTCACAATAAGAAAAGTCACAATAAGAGATGTCACATGGCACAATAAGAGATGTCCTAATAAGAGATGTTCTAATAAGAGATGTCACATGTCACAATAAGAGATATCACAATTGGGGATGTACAGGGGAAGTTACAAGCACAGTCATGTATCTTACAGATTTGGTCCAATATTTTTCATCATTCGCTTTGTTCCAGATTATCAGAAATACTTTTTAAGTGTTTCATTACCTTATGGAACAGGTTTCTGTCAAGATCAAAATTTAGAATCATTAGAATTTGTATTAAATGCAAGAATGCTGGTGTGCCAGAGCACTTGGCGCATTTGAATTTGTTGTTTTTATTGGATCATTTTTATTGGTTTGTGATCTGTTTTTCATTTGGTTTCAGGAACCACCTTTTGTACAGTTTAAAAATGAATCAAATTACAGCCCTGGGGATCCTAATTTTCTTTTTGAGGGATTACTGATAGATATTTTAGAAGAATTATCAAAAATGTTAGGGTTTAGATACAATTTATCCTTAGTACCGGATGGTAAATTCGGTAGTTTAAAGCCACCTCCCAGATTCTGGACGGGAATGGTACGGGTTATTTTAGATGGTGTAAGTAAAGTTGTAATTATTTGATTTTGAAGAGTCAATTGGTTTTGTATAAAACCGTGCAGAACCGTGATGCAATTATCATTTATACAATAAGACTAAACTGAGTGTCTCTCAATCCATGGCTCTAACATAAGAGCTTTAAGGACGAAAGCCGTTTCACTTCAAAACGGTTATTACAGCACTAATACTTCTATTTCAGAAGGCCGATTTAGCACTGGCACCATTCCAAGTTACACCAGATAGATCCAATGTTGTGGATTTTACTAAACCATTTATGACCAAAGGAACAACTACCATGGTTAAGAGACCAGAATTTAAAGTTGGACATTTCCAGTTCTTAAGACCTTTATCCAAATATGTGTGGATTGCTATATTTGTTTCTTTTGTGTGTGTTAGTTTAATACTGTTTGCAGTCAGTCGTGTGAATTCAGACAAACATGCCAAATATACTCATAATTTAAGAGCCAGTTTCTGGTATATTTGGGGAACTCTTTTACGAGGTAGTTTGTGTGGTGCCCCTCAGGCTGTATCAAGTCGAACTGTCAGTAGTGCATGGTGGTTTTTCTCTTTAATTATCATATCTATATATACTGCTAATTTAGCTGCCTTCTTGACTATTACTATCTCCTCAATTGGGATCAACTCAGCGGCTGATTTGGCGAATCAAGACGTTTTACAATATGGAACTGTGGAAGGAAGCCAAATAGAGTACTTCTTTAATCACACTAAAATGGACCATTATGCTAAAATGAAAGCAACAATGTCAGTGCAACCAAATTGGATGGTGCGAACTGTTGACATTGGTTACGAAAGAGTGATGCAAGGTGGATATGCATTTATTTGGGATTCTCCGACAATAAGTCATTTAGTTTCTACAGACTGTAGTCTTATGGAGATTGGTACTCCATTTGATTTGAAAGGATATGGACTAGCTGTAAAAAAGAACGCACCATATCTGGAAAAGATATCAATGGCCATTCTAAAGATGATAGAAGATGGGGTTACGTATCGACTAGAAGGAAAGTAAGTTAGTGAGATGATTTCTTTCTAATTTCATCACTTAACAACATCATTAAATAGAAATTCAGAATAAAAAACTATGTTAATGTGGCGAACAATCGTAGAGGTGGTCATAAAAAAGCAATAGGAAAATTGGTTTGTGATTTAATCTGCCGTCTGCTATTCTCGTCTGATATTAAGTTGATCTTCTGAAACCGGTTAAGATAATTAGCTTACCAAATATCGCCTATTGACCCAACTACTAATAGATCATTCTCAGTCTGCTAGTCTTGATAGATATCAGCACCAAAACCTACCATTATAGAAAGAACTTTTATCACCATTTCGATTGCAAATTTCCGTCATTCTGATGTCTGACAATTTTTTCGTCTTTTGAAACAGTTGAATTTTTGATTATATTCATAATCAATTAATAATTAATATTCTACCTACAATAATAAACAAAACACAGAAAGGAATTGTAGATGAGCCAAATATTTTTAAAACTATATTAAACATTTCGTAAGCTGTTTATATCATTGACGTTGTTTTACTTTCATTTATTTACATTTTTGAAAGTCATCTATGACTGAAGATCAATTATATATAAACATTGATTTTCAGTTCAAACATAATGTTATACAGTATAACCAATGACAACCAGCATTTGAAATATTTCTATTCAAGATACAGTTTGAAAACAATTCCAGACTGAAAATCAAGGTTTAGATATACATATAAACAAATGTTTATGTGAAGTATATTAGTATGTATATGATCTAATGTATATTTTATTAACTCTCAACTATTTTGTATTCAGATGGTGGCGACGTCAGAACTGTCCTGATCCAAGACAGAAAGCCAAAACCAAATCATTGGATTTTGAGAATGTAGCAGGAATGTTCATTATTCTAGCTTGTGGTACTGTTTTAGCTGTCATTATTTGTTTAATTACCTATTGTGTTCGAGAAAATAGAGCTCGTTTAGTAAGTAATAGTAGCACGTGATTTTCGTTGTCTTTTCATTTTAGTATGACTAATCGTGCAAAAGAACAACGCAATTTCTATATGATCTGTTTAACAAAGTAAAGTAAATCACATCAGAACCATTATTAAACATCCTTTCCCACATCTAATCAACACCTAATAGAACATGGTCAAAATAGTAGTATAAGTTCGAGCGAATATAGAATCTAAACTATTATTGGTACTGTGTGATTACCAATAAAATATATGTCTTAATAAGTAGATTTTATAGTAATTGCTTAGTATTGATATAGTACTTAGCCCAGATACATAAAATAAGGACGAATATACCGAACTGTCTAGAGTACAATACAGTTTTATAAATAAATGTTTCCTTAATTTGGGCTTTTAATCAGCACTATCACATTGCCTTGTTTTTATTTGAAAATTGTATTTTCAATAAGTCGATTATTGAAGAATTCGTCCTTGTGTATTTTTAAATCAATTGAATTCTAAAGCCGTTTGTTTTTATTTTCAGGGTGTTAAAAATAAAGCTCCATTTATTTACGTAGCACCAAAATCTTCTAGAAATGATAAGTACATTGCACCAGTACCAGTTACAGAATTACAGGATGACCGACCTGACATGTTAGGTGATATCCAAGTTTATGCTAATCACTCATCTTGTGGCGACGGACCATTCTTTAGGCATAGTAGTTATTCAGAATACGAATCGAAAATATAGCATAACTATGTTAAATTTAATCTAATTTGAAGGGCATTATAATATAGTCAATCCACAAAACTGTAGAAGAATGTTATTATGTTCACGAGAAAACTCGTGTTAGGAAGTGAAATAAGGAGTGGAAATAACAGGGAAAATAGTTTTAGACGAAAAAACTGTTTTATTGAACAATTGATAATGAAAGGGATTTCAAAGATGAGGCGTCACAGTTAAAAATCCTATGGTTGAATTTTCTTATCAGAAAGGATTTATCGTGGATATGGTCAGTATCTCGCTTTCCTATGTGTAAACATATCAGAGTGGATATACAGGACACATGAACTAAATTTAGTTGAAACTATAACAATTATCATTTTCCAATCATTTCATTCCATAAGAGAATATTCATAGCCTACATCATTGTGTTGAAATTTCAAAATAAATAAATTTGATTTAAATTGTATTATTGAGTTATTCTGTAAGATAGTACTTAAATCTTTATACCCTCCAAACAGGGTCGACATCGGACCAGATTGTCATCTTATGCTGCCCCCTTTTGTTCGGAAACAGAATCTTCATCAGGAAATCCAGGAAATGGTCTTCCCACCGTAATATTTTGGTTTATGAACATCTCGATTTAATTGATGAAATTTCTAGAATAATTGGGTATATTGGTCATTTGGAAGTTCTATGTGCCTACATTTAGATGTATGTTGTAGTTACCCTTACGTCGGTTAACATTTGTGGAAACCATTCACAATTTGGTTTTCACATGGCTTTAATTAATTTTAATTAGTGATTTTTTAAATAAACGTTTTGAAATTTATTGGCTTAATAAATCGTTTAGAATATATAAGCGTCATAGAAGCTAGGCAACAATTTCATTCGATTTTGATAATTGGTGTGATCAATCAAATTGATAGAATCCTTGTTGTAGTGAATAAAGATCAGTTTAAAGTTTTATATTATTCACATTCGTGTTTTCATACAACATGTGAACTTAAAATATCAATACACCTGTGATAAAGCACGCCTCTCTATTTCGATTTCCAACTGTCCAGGGATCTTTGATTTGCACAGCCTGTAGCACATGAGGGCTTGGTTAATTGTCTCATCACTTTTCCCATGTCAGCTCCACCGACTTACATAACAGTTCAGTAATTGACAGGGAAGGGGTATTTATAA